AATGTAATAACACATAGGTTAATTTTTATCCCACAGGAAAGTGGGCGAATCCGCTGGAAGAAGCTAGTAGGTATATTACAATGACAATAATTGATCACACACTAATAAACACAAAATAAATTCAGTACGCTGAACCGATTCCGTTAAATATTAAACAGGGCGAAGCTGCCTACACAGACACAGTTACACACAGCATTTTAGAAAAAATAAAATTAAAAAGTTGTTGCTCTCACAATCAGACAGGGCTCAGCAACATAACTCATTTATTCCTGTACTCTTGTATACCTGATATATGTGTTTACCCTACATGAAATTCATTAACAAAGCCGCCTAATAACTTCCCCCCACGGGTGGGTGGTCAATGGGGGGGCATGTTGACAAACAGCACCCTGTAATGTGCTACTGTTGAATTGCAAAAATCTCATTATGCTCTAACTGTCGTTATAGGAGTAATTAACTGCCGTGGACAGCAGGTGCTGTGGAGTCGGTTCGAACAAAATTTTTCTTCAAATGTCCCAACATAAAATAAGTTCTAAGGTAAGGCTAATGGCTTTAAGTTAATCACACACTTAACAAGCACGGCTCCAGCACGTTTTTTGCCTTGGAATCAATACAAAAATATGGGAAGCGCGGCGTCGGCGCGCCGTCGTCGGTACGCTGGCAGCACGCGGGTAGCGCGTTAACAGCTTTTTTTATTATAACGTTATGAAATATGTCGTACAACATATGATTTGGGGGGGGGGAATCATCCAATGACTTCTCACGCCCGGGTGCAGCGAGCGGGAGTGTCAGACTCTTACTGACTGAAAACCACCCCGTTCCTACTCCTGCACTTCGAGCCGGAGCCCCGGCAACCCAGCACACAGCACACAGCTAACATCAGCCTTGTTGAGCCCTATCTGTGGTGGTGAGATGGGTACAACATATGATTTAACGTTCATATTTAAATGACAAGTTAGACTGCGTTGGAGCCGTCCCGGAGCCGTGCTTGTTAGATGTGAGATGACTTTAATTCACTTCTGGAAATAGTGCATGAGTAGGTACTCATTTTCACTAGTAGTGTTTTGCTTTCCAAAATAAGCAGCGTAAATCTATTTAGCACACACATGGTGTGAGGATACCTGATTGCATGCTAAAAAAGAATTTGAAGATTAACAAAACTTTAAAATATTTTACAAGAAATCATATTCTATATTCAAATTCTTTGAATAGACGAAAAAGATTTGCACTATGACATTAACAATATTTGAGATAAGTTTCAACATACTCTTCGGCACTTAGAATTGATACTGCATCGTTGATGTCGTTCAAGGTTCGAGATACCGGAGCCTACATTAAGGCAGTTCCGGATCGAAAGCAACTGCACCCGCAGGATATCCATTAAATTTTCACACATAAAACCGTCTGTCAACAAGGGCAAATTTCCCTCAAAGACAAGTAAAAAATTAATAAGAAATGATTAATCTTTAACGAAGTAAGATTCATTCATCATTGGATTCACAGATATAGAGTTTACTTTGCTTATTATTTCAAAAATATGTTCTTTACATCCTTCATCAATTGCAATTGGGATGATGACAGGGTATGAAAATTAAAAATGTAATTAAGAAGTCCATAAGTTAGGTAATGATAAAATACACTGGTCAACAAAATTCAAACTTTTTCGTGCCACACGGACTTTTTTGATATTTTTTACTTTAGTTGGTGATTGTAAGAAAAGATAAACAGTTAAAAAAAATTTGCTAGCCAAGGATTTTATTCTATTGAGTAATTAAAAATATTAAGAAAAAATACAGATCTCGTAAATCAAACTTTTTTTTTATATAAATTACTTAATAATTTAAGATTTTCTTGAATGTTTAGCTTCTGGTTGGTCCCTTTTAATTGTCCAGCAGTAATCCGCTAACATATTTGGGCTCCATTTTCCCTGGTACCGCTTTTCCATACTAGAAATGTCCTGGTGGAACCTCTCGCCGTGCTCGTCACTGATAGCCCCTAAATTGTCAGGAAAAAAATCCAGGTGCGAGTCTAAAAAATGGATCTTGAGTGACATGTTGCAACCCAATGCTTGATATGACAATAAGAGCTCGCTAACCAACTCTCTGTAGATGTCACTCTTGTGGTTGCCCAAAAAATTTGCAACAACATTTTTAAATGCGTTCCATGCACATTTTTCTAAACCGCTTAATTTTTCTTCAAATGTTGAATCTTTTATTAACTCCCTGATTTGAGGGCCAACAAAAATACCCTCTTTTATTTTTGCATCACTTATTTTAGGGAATTTTTCTTTTAGGTACAAAAATCCACTCCCACTGCGATCCATTCCCTTCACAAAATTTTTTATTAATCCTAATTTGATATGCAATGGTGGTAAAAGCACATTATTTGGCTCTACAAGGGGTAAATACTTTACATTTTTTTGGCCAGGAACTAACGATGCACGCATAGGCCATGTTTTTTTTATATAGTGATTAGTTCTGTCTCGGCTATCCCATTCACATAAAAAACAGCAAAATTTTGTATAACCCAGCTGAAGTCCAAGTAATAATGCAACAACTTTAAGATCACCGCAGATTTTGAAGGAATATGTACTGTAATTTATTTTTTCAAGTAAAACTTTCATATTTTCATAGGTTTCTTTCATATTTGAAGCATGGGCCACAGGAACAGACGGAAGCATATTTCCATTATGCAATAAAACTGCTTTTAGACTTGCCTTCGAAGAATCAATAAATAAACGCCACTGAGAGATTTCAAAATCTATGTCCAACATTTTCATGATCTCATTTATGTTATTGCAAAACACCAAATCTCCATCCTGAGAAAAATACGTTCTGAAGTGTTCATCACGGTTTCGAAAATAGCTAACTTTTGTATTATGATGTAGCAAATTCCATTCTTTTAGCCGAGATCCTAATAGTTCCGACTGCTTTTTTGACAAATTTAAATCCCTAACCAAATCATTTAGGTCTCCTTGAGTTATCAAATGTGGCTCCTTTTCAATTCCTTCAAACTCAAAGTCATCATTCTCGTCAAAAGACCGACTTGAAGTAGACGGTTGTGAATGGTCGTTATCAACAGACGTTGTTGCAACTGGTATTAGTTCTGGCATTTTTTTACAATGAGAGACTGGTCTTATAGCAGAAGATACGTTAGGGTAGATAACTGTTTTTTTTTTCTTGTAATTTATACCTTTTAAGTCAGTGAGACAAAAATAGCAATCCGAAACGTGATCTCGCTGTTCAGTCCATATCATGGGTACAGCAAAAGGCATAGCTCGTGCACCTTTCTTCCAGTCGGTTAAATTTTTCACACACGTTATGCAACAGACATGAGGGGCCCAGAATTTGTCTTGATGGGCGACAGAAAAACCAAAACATTGGTGATAACACTCCAGCACAAGATTCGTAAAATTTCGTCGTTGTTTTTTGAATGTAAGTTCTCCGCAGATATAACAAAAAGAGTTAGGGTTATTTTTACACTTCCTCGACATGTTCACAGGATTAATAAATCACAAAAAATATTCAAATTCAACTACAAATACTTTTATGACGATTTACTTGTGAGCATTTCTGTTAATTTACCGCCGTAGTACTAGTATTACCGTATCACAACAAATATGAGGCTAACAGACAAATGAAAACTGTGATTTAATGATGAGGGTAGATTGATAAAACAAAATTAGCTATCAAAGTTCGTGTGGCAAAATCAGTGTTGACCAGTGATATTAGAGTCGTATTTTTTTTTGTTGCGGGTGTCTATGGGCGGCGCTGATCGCTTACCACCAGGTGATCCGTCTGCTCATTTGCCTCCTATTCCATAAAAAAAATACAATACTTAGATAAAACGAATTAAAGTTTAGGAGTGGGGGCTAAAACGTCATTTCTACGTATAAAATGTACATAGAAGTGACGTCACGCGACATTTCAAATCAATATATCGTCGAAAGTATTCGTTTCTGTAAGAAAATAAAAAATACGTGTCTAATGATTTAAAATAATCAACCAGACGGACATTAAAATAAAAATTAGGCATCTACCATTTTAGGTATAGATGAGGTTAACATCATATTCGTCTGTTAACATTCCCGGTATTAGTTTGAGACTTTTTTATGACCCGATATTAAGTAGCATGCATCAAGTACCTATCTATCATTATCACCACCGTCATCGGCTTGTAGATCTATTGTAATCCTAAAAATCAAAAGCAGATTTAAGAAGAAACAATAACAACATTAAAAACTGTTAATGGAACAGTTTAAGTATCAACTCAACACGTTTCCCTGTGCCATGGTAATTGTGTTTCGTTATAACGAGTTTTTTGGCGAGCGCGGTGACTCGACCCGCGGTGAACCTGTGTTTTGCTTTGCTCATTTCACTCCCCATAAGATCGGTGAATACGGGAATTTAACTGGGAATGCGAATGTGCTTGATGCGATAAAATGCTGTGGAAAAGGTCACGGATACAGTGGACATTGGACTGTATTTCGCAATGAGGTTGGTAGCGAAATGGAGGCGTGAAGTGTTATTGGTAATTATAATATTGGTTAAAGCAAGATTAATATTGGAATGATGGCGAAGATGAAGAATTCAATTGTTGATTTCGAGATGGTCTAATCTAATTGATATTTTAGCTTTCTTGAGACCTATTAAATTAATTACATATATATTTTCGGCTTACTCACGTAATTATTTGACGAGGATCTCGACTAGTTCCTACGCCCAACACGCGTGGTACCTACGTAGTAGCGCGACAGTCACCGTGTGGTGTGTCGCGGAATTGTGCTCATGATATGAGCCTCTAGCATGAAACTATCGACTAGTTCCTGGTCTAATCTATGGAAATGATAGGTGGAACGGTGTTTTTGACAGCTTTTTCTTTAAGTAGGATGAAAGGCGATAAAACTAGGGAAAGTGTATACATACTGGGACATGACCTCGAGTATGATGAATTGTAAGTACAAATCTAGGCTGATGTAAACAAAAATTAAGACCCAATAAATTATAATTGAAAGGGTTTTAATCAAACGTTAGATCAATCATATTATCATCAATGTCCATATTATCGAAATCTGCAACGCCGTCTCCTTTTTCTTCATGTTTCGAATTTTCCGGAACATTTTGCTTTGACGTCGAAGGTTCTGGCTCTTTTTGTTTCGCATTTATGTTTTCTGGTTCTCTTTGTTTTGATATTGGTGTTTCTGATGGCTTGCTTACTACAGTTTTTCTTCGTTTTTCTTTAGGACTCGGCGTTATAGCGTCCAGGCGACTTTTCTGTAAGTAAATGAAAAATGTTTCGATTCAGATATTTACCTACTAGTTTTTTGTTTAGAATAGGTTTTGGGATGTGATCTACAATAATGGATTTGGTTGAGGTAACAGAAAAACTATCTACGTAAAAAATTCACACTTCGTCACGCCATAACTTGAGAATGGCTGAACCGATTTGGCTGATTATTTTTTTGTTGTGTTTGTAATTCTCAGGAGAAGGTTCTTATGACAGAAAAATAATCTTGTAAATCTTATGGGAACGGCAGAAAACGGGATTGCGCGTACGGTGTCGCGGAAGAAGCAGCAGAAGATAAGAAGTACACAGGTAGGGTATGTGGTGACTTAGGGGATGGATTACTTTTTATCCCGATTAAATGCTCTCATGGAATAAAACAAGAATCAGATTCTACTCGGACAAATTTGGGGCAATAGCTAGTATGAAAATAAATCTCATACCCTTAAAGCAGTTACAGTCTTCTCACAAATATTTGCTCTTCATTCACTAGGTTCAACTTGACATTAATTAGATTCATCTAGGTAAACATAAAAAAGTAAAAACTGCGTTTAAAAAACTAACTTCAAAAACCCAAAACTAAAAACCTACAAAAAGTAAATACTAAAAAACAATATCTATCTTATTAGTAAATACTGATAGGTTACCAACCCATTCATAGGTTAGATTAGAAGTCGACGCCATAAGTTCTAAACAAAATTATTCATTAAAACCTTAATAGATACCTAATATTAAGCTGTTTACAATTTGGTGACCATTAAGTTATATCATTTTCATATGAGCTTATATGCACCGACTTCTAACCTATCAGTGGGTTGTTCATTACAAAAGCGTGCAACGCCAAATCGTGACCTCACACCGATTAGTTCATCAAACGGGTGTAATAAGTCAATTAGTCATATCATTTCGACGTGAAAACAGCAATTGCATAAATAAACAGGTCCATCACACGGCTATTTAAAGATTCAACATCGGATTTAAATTTAAAATCGTTGTTAATATAACTCGGATCGGAATACCGATTCATCGGTTAAGTTTGCAACGAGTTGTGACTGGCGACTTTTTAAATGTGATTTATAAGTTCGATATTTGAATAATGAGGTGACATTTCGATTATAATTTTTGTGTAAGTTGATTTCTCGAGTCGTAGTTGTTGTTGTTGTTTTAGCGCTTATTGCTTGCTATAGATATTCATTTTAATAGTTATTGAATCGAATGGTTTTCAAGCACTGCGTGGTATTGCAGTGATTTTCAAATACTTTTTAAAGTGTTTTACCTAATTAATAAGAAGAATCTCGCTACATATATAAAATAACTAAAAAAAACTGAATAAGACGAGAAGTTAATTGAAGAGTAATGTCGTGATGGGCCTGGAGGTTTAAGACGCATGCTTCTCATGCATTAAGGTGCGGGTTCGAAACCTACCAACGGAAAGTACCTATGTGACTTTTACCGAGTTATATGTAGGTACTTTCTAAGATCATTTAGACACCACTGACAAACGGTGAAGAAAAACATCGTGGGGAGACTTGGGCTTATAATTTCTAATTATAAGTTTGTAATCGCCAACTTGCATAGCGCAAGCGTGGTGATTAATGCTCAAACCTTCTCCGTGTGAGAAGAGGCTTTGCTCAGCAGTGGGCATTTATAGGCTGTTGATAATGATGAAAACTCAAGACCGATCGAGATATAGGACCTCTATGGAAGCCCTCTGACTCATCCAGGGGAAATTGAACTTTTAGTCGGTAATACGTGATGGAAACTGACTTACCAGGGAAGGACACCGTCTCACAAGAAGTTTGACATCATCAGCAGTGATTGTAGAACGTTTGGCATGCCTGTAAGTAAATAATTTAAATCGGTAAGTGTTACAGATAATGTAAATGGGTCCTTTACACACTTTACACTACCTGGGTAGTAATCACGATTTGTTTTTTTTTCGTTACTTATCTGTTTATTTCATTTTTTTTTTGTATAAATTATTACACGTGTCGCTGCATGGCCCGAGTCAAGAAAAGAACTAGGGAACTCAGGTCTTGACCACCGCACTTCGATTACTGAACCACTGATCACCCGTCTTTGGTCAAGCATGGTATAAAGGACATAGTTTTACGATAACAGGAAAGTTTAATCCTAACAAACAGATTGATAGATTGGATAAGTAAATATCTATCAGTCTACCTAATTAATTACCAACACGGAAAACACAATAGGTACATGAAAATAAAAGAAAGAAAGAAACGGTACAAACTTTGCAAAAGCTTCCAAATCGGCGCCATAAACTGCCAGTTTCTTATAAACAAGTTCTGCAACAATTTCCATAGCTGGCTTTGTTATCTCCAGACCAAGGAAATGGCAAGTTTCCGTGCCAATAGTTCGGACATCACGATGCAAAGCAGCGCGAATTTTCTAAAAGTTCAAAATTAAGATAAACGCCATCTATGACATCAAGCTTAAAACACTGCAACAGTATGGTATTCTTGGCTAGTTATTAAGTGTAGACATAGATGGCGCTAAAATGTGAATTGTTTTGCAATTGTTTTTGCTAAGTTTCAATTAGTCAAACAGTATTTTTTTTATAGAAAATAGCTTGATGTCAGTAATTGAACCGAAAACTTACTTGTGTTGACGATAGATTTTCAAAAGACGACATTTCTTCTATAGTATTGTACTAATTCTTGTACTATTCCTATTTGGAGTTTCAATTAAAATAAACAGACCTTATTATCTCTTATTTGTATCACTAATAATGCAATATGTTAGGAAAGATATAGCAACAACATACTAAAATACATAAAATATCATACTTTTGCAATATTTAACATAACCTCTCTAATCTAATGAAAACAAACGAAAATTCAAAACAACTTGACTGTCATCTGTCAGTTCCTCATATTTCACTGTCAAAAAATTTTTTTTTTAGTTGGAGAAGTAAGATTAGCTACTACCATATTCAGCCTGACTTTATTTGTGTCTGTGTTGTATTTATTATTGTTATTGTGTATTGTGTGGTATTTTTTAGCTAAATTATGTTTGACTATAAGTCTATAAACTACGTTTAGTGGACGTCCAAATGGATCCATACAAAAATACGCCACGGTAGATACGACGTGTGATCACACGCGGATCCACATGTGGGGTCCACTTTTTAAATGCAGTTGTAGCCCTAACACTAGTCGTGGGGAACCTAACGGGTTACCGGGGTTCCGGCTCGACGTGCAGGAGAAGGAACGGGGTGGTTTTAGTCAGTAAGAGTCTGACACTCCCTCCCGCCTCACACAGACGGGAGCAGACATTTGATGATATACCCCCCTTAAAAAATTCTAAATAAAAAATAACTTACAATTTTACTCAAACCACCGTCCATTTAAGGCATTTGCCCACAAGATTTAAGGCAAAGGCTTTGGGAGCGACTGTAGGTGGTTGGTATGGGGCGGGCGGGCAGTGAATGCGTCACAAACACCAAAGAGTATAATAAGTATAGGGGATACAAACACGCAAGAATGTTGCATAACAACGTAGGTAATTGAAGCATATACTGCGCAGTCGCGGCGTGTTGCGCCCGCTTTGCTTTGAGCACATTTATTATCAGCTGGATCGCTAGTAACAAAATTGATATGGCCTTAACAGTCCCTAGTGCTGGTCTCATTGCTCTAATTGCATGCTTCGCTTGTCGAAAGACTAGGTCCTAAATAATAATAATTATCGTTATTCGGTAAAAAATAAAACACCATGAATGATTTTTATATATTTATATAATGAGCATTCTGTACAACACAAGTTAACCCAAGGTTATTTAAATCAAACATACCTATGTCTAGACTGGTCGGATTGCCAAATATAGGAACAATTTTATCGAGTCTACCTAATATTTATCTGGTGCGAGTAAAAGGTAGTTACTAAAAATAGTATTATTTTGTTTAATATCCCTTTCTATACACATTACATATTGTAAATCAAAATTAATTTAAAAGTCATAATTTCTCGACCCAAATGTCCGAATCAATGAGGATTTTGTTGACGCAGTGATAGGTAAGGTCCTATTTATATAATCAGCTTGTCAGCTAATTTATCGAGACCGTTTTACTGTGTCTTATGTAAGGACCATTGTTCTCTATCAATCCGAATATCAACCTTGTGAAAAGTTATGCTCTTTTCCTGGCCACAAATCTAGGACACGATACAAAACTTCACAAAGACCTTGGTGCTTACTCTTAAAACCAATCTCAATGTCAATGCAATTTCAATCCAATAAAATCTCGATAATTATTCAATGTTAACACTATACAACCCCTATCATAGCTGTGAAAATAGGATTCAGCGTACAGAATATAAAGCCAAACTCAATACCATTTAGTTCATTCAGTATCCACGCAATACAGATGCAATGGGCGCTAGTGTTGCAACTCAAGAACTTTTACAATACCAATATCGATCGATCGGAATTGGATTCAAGAGTAAGCTCCCTTATCTTGGGCGTTTCTACTAGTACGAAAATCCTCATTGGTAAGGCTAACCAAGTTACCAGTCGTTGAATAAGGTACTATGATATACCTTTTAAATATTATTGTCATATAAAAAGAAACTGTTTAGTTTATAAATTATTATTATGTAACAAAAACTTCAGGTTAAGGCGAGCATAACTGTTGGCTTACATATGTAAATGCAGATTGAGAAAAAGTTAAAACTCAATGCAAACATACTTATTCTTTACATAGAATTTTCTTTTCCAACAATAACAGAATGTATTTTGAGTATCTGATGAATGGAGCGACAACCAATAAATAAAAACGAATCATTGAAATGTATGTGTCAGTTACTGTAATTGGATTTTCTGCTGTTATGACAGTTTAAAAATAAATAAATGTATGTATAACTCCTGAATTACTTATTTTAATGACCAAATTAAATAATAATTTTTTGTCCCATTCATTCATTCTAGGACAAGGTTTTTTTTTAAGGGGGGAAAATCATCGAATGGCTGCTCCCGCCTGGGTGAAGCGGGAGGGAGTGTCAGACTCTTACTGACTAAAAACCACCCCGTTCCTTCTTCTGCACGTCGAGCCGAAGCCCCGGTAACTCGTTAGGTTCTCCGGTTAGAAATCGCTTCACTAAAGAACTGACCGATAGACTGACATTTTTTTTTCTCTTCTTTGGCAAACGAGTCTCCAAAACGATCTTGTCGACTATACTGCCAGTGTCGAGTGGTGACGGCAGTTTAATAAACCGTCAAAATGAACTTTGTGGTAGTTTTTAGTTGTTAGTAGCTGAAAGGATAAAAATATCTCAATATTTTGTTTTGACAATTAAAAAGTGACTTCCTGATCTAATAGAAATAAATGATTTTGACTTTGGTTTGTATTAATGAAATATTACATTGAAAACAGTATCCGAGCAAACCAGAGGCTGGCTGCTAGTAACAATATATTTTAGACTGCTTAGTGAACTTAAAAATCCTCTTGTAGATGAACCTTATAATCCAGTAATGAACTTACACAGAATGATATTTCATTATAATCTCAGTGACTTCAGAACTTAACCCGTATATCCCCAAGCGGTCACCGGTGACCGCCCTCCACTAACTACTTTATAGACCTTATTTCCAATGTTTATAGACAAATTGTATGAACAAATTTAGGGGATGATTTTCAACAATTTCAATGGGTTAGGAGTAATTATTATTTCGGTAATTTTAGCTATAAAATGATGTATCTCAGGCATGAACTACTATGCTCACAGAGCCGTTTACTTTTAAACTGTCAAACACCAAGCGGTCACCGGTGCCCGCAACCTATTGTTCTATAATTATATCTATAATGACGGTACTCAAAGAGTTAATACAAATTTAACAACACTTGGAATTCATCAGACACTCAAAATCCTAAACATTTATATTTCATTTTCGTTTCGCAAAAATATATATTTGTATATATCTTCCAGTATATGTTACGTTTTAGACTTTCTTCACGATTTGGACAACATCTTCATCGGATAGCACATGGTCGATACCAACTTTCTGCGGCTGATGCTTTACAGAAGACCCCCAAACAAGAGCACTGGAAACAAAATTAAAAGCAAATTATATAATGTGTAAAAATTGTGTACATTTCTAGAACTTACATTTCGTTTCATTTACCAATAAAAAAATACGCTATCCTGCGTATTGCCGGAGTACGCTTGTTAGATACAGCAAAAGATCGAAAAGGGTGGCATTCTCTGGATTTCCTTTTAATATAACCCTTTTTTTTAGGATGTTCATCTTATTAAAAATTGGGAAAGATAAGGCTAAGGATAAGGGATAATTTCATTTATTATATCAAGGGCTAATTTTTCAATACTCAGATAGATTATAACTGAGGAATAACTTTTAATATTTAACAAATATTCCATACAAACCGTCAATCAAATGTCAATTTTATTCTGTCTACAGTTAAAAATTAACCAATGCTTGAAAAATCGGCCTTAAGTACCTATTAATTTAAGCTGGATAAGAGATGCAAATAAACCAAGAAGATTGACAGAAAATAGGATATGTCTATGACAACCACAGTGTCACCCACTGGTGACACTCAGTTGAAATGATGAATTCAATAAAAATTACATACTAAAACTGAACAATCACAATCACATATTGCTAACTCAAATATTACAATTGCTGATAGTAGGTAGCGCGTATACGGCCTACATTGTCACCTGTATAATCAAAACAAATGAAATATGTGTACTTACTATTTGAATTCCTTTACAATGGACCTATGGAGTTTGTTACAGAAATCTTCGACGCTGGTGCGGTCCGCATGCAATACCACAGGCGCATTATAGTCAGGCAGCTGTCCTTTAGGCTTGGTGTATATCCTAATAAGCTTCAGGTATTCCCACATCTTTTCCAATAAGTCATCGAAATTCCATTTGTGATGAGCCGAGATGGGCACGCAATGAGGTATCTTGTAAATAACGTCCAATTCTTCTATGCTGATTTGATCTGTAGTAAAAATAAATACTTTTGAAATCTTTATATATACAATTCTTGTGTAAGTGTGTATGTCACTGAACACTCTCTCAAACGACTAGACCGATTTTGATGAAATTTTTTGTGTGTGTTCAAGGGGATCTGGGAATGGTTTAGATTCACAAATCAGCCCGGCAGATGGCGCTGCAGTCGATGTTTAGGTTATTATCCTAAACAGCTGAACTAATTTGAATGAACCGACTTCAATGCCTCTTTTTTTATATTAAAATTTTTTCCTATGTATAACAAAACACTTTTAAGCAAACCGCACCAAAATTGGTTTAGATAATCGCGCACTAATATACATACAACTGAGAAAGTTTTTTTTTTATAGTCGGTTAAAAAAACTGCCTGTTGCTGACTGCTTCGTTGGCAGAGCGGTCGCAAGTGCGACTGCTACGCCCGGGTGTCATCACTGCGAGGACCGCCCTGAGGACACGGTGGAACACACAGTGGGAGAATGCCCTACGTGGGCTGAGCACCGCCGTGCCCTCAGGGAAGTGATCGGCGATGGCGACCTCTCGCGTCCGGGCCTAGTGCAAGCCATGATGCGGAGCGAGAGGGATTGGGATGCCGTCTCCTCCTTTTGCGAAGCAGTCATGCTAGCTAAGGAGGAAGCGGGGCGCGTGAGGCAGCGAAGAGCTGCCTCCTCGCAACCCAGCCATCGCGAAGGACACACCGGGCGTCGAGGATCGCGGGACGATCTCCGGCCACCGTAAGCGCGGGCCTGCGGACGGCGAGCATGGGTGGCTCCCCGTCCGACCAGAAACAGACCCGAGCGTACGGCGCGTCGCGTTCCGCGCGCGCCTCAAAGAGCCATCAGACCACCACAGATGGGGCCCAATAGGGCCGATGCCGATTCGGAGTCGCGGAGAACCTAACGGGTAACCGGGGCTCCGGCTCGACGTGCAGGAGAAGGAACGGGGTGGTTTTTAGTCAGTAAGAGTCTGACACTCCCTCCCGCCTCACCCAGGCGGGAGCAGTCATTAGATGATTTTCCCCCCTTAAAAAAAAAAAAAAAAAAGTGCGACTGCTGGGCAAGGGGTCTCGGGTTCGATTCCTGAGTCGGCCAAAATATTACTGGGATTTTCTCAGTAGTAGCACGGAGTCTGGAATTGTGCCCGGTATATTATGGCAATAGACTCACCCCCTATTACATGGGACTCATAACATAAATAGTGAAAAGTGGGCTTTACATTGTACAGTGGCATTAAGTGCATGTACACCTCTAATGTAATGTGCACCTCTGCCTACCCCTTCGGGGATAAAAGGCGTGATTTTATGAATATATGTAGTAAGTTCATAAGATAATCTTATATTGTATTTGAGTACCTACTTACTTACAGCCAGAAGCTATTCACCACTTTGATTATTATACAGTGAACACGAAGAGAATGAATGAAAAGAAATGATGTTGTGATAGTGAAGTGAAGCTCTATACATATACTTTTGAGGGTGATAATTGGTACATCATCAGACACTCAAGCAAGGGGCCTCGGGTTCGATGACCGGGTAGGGCATAGTATTACTGGATTTTAAAATTCTCAGTAGTAGCATGGAGTCTACAATTGACTTCGATACATGGCAATAGGCTCACCCCCTATTACATGGGACTCATAACATAAATAGTGAAAAGTGGGTGTTACATTATATAGTGGCATTAAGTGCCGTAAAGTCCACCTCTGCCTACCCCTTCGAGGATGAAGGGTGTGATGTTGTTATGTTTTTAATTATGTTGGTCTGATTTCAAAACAATAATTATTGAATTTAGACTTACCAATCTTATTGAGTAGATAAATACAAGGCATGTACACTCGGTTCCCTTCAATCACATCAATCAGGTCGTCACTGTTAGCATCGTACCGGAGAGTTATGTCAGCGTTGTGGATTTTGTATTCTGATAGAATTGTCTTCACTGTTTCTATGTCCAACTCAGTTTGCGGGCACTGAAAAGAGAATTTAAACTGTCAAACACTGCGAGGACACTGGTGTTCTTTAATTGTGTCTATAATGACGGTACTCAAAGGGTTAAGTTCATTTTAATTACTAGTTGGTACTTGTGTTATTCAGTTCTTTTGCACTTAACACCTAACCTTCGAAACCTACCAACGGCAAGTACCAATGTGACTTTTTTCAAAGTATATGTACTTTCGAAGATTATCTAAACATTACTCACAAATGATGAAGGAAAACATCGGAAACCTAAGCTTATTATAATTTCTAATTATAACTTTCAAATTGCGAACCCGCATTGAGCTATTAATGCTCAAACCTTCATCGTGTGAGAAGAGTCCTATGGTCAACAGTGGCTATTTATAAGCTGTTGATGTTGATAGATTCATAACAAATTTTACTTAAAAAAAATAAAGATAGTATGAAACTTTGCATGCCGAACTGTAGGCGATGTATGTGGGACTATTTTTTATAATCATTATCACCTGTAATTACCATACTTCATGCAAATAAACATTCTTATTCTTAACATAATATGAGAAAACTTACAGTAGTATTCAAATTAATTCCACCCTTATCTTTTTTCCTAAAATGTATGTTCGGTGGTTGTTTGTTTAACCTCAGTCCGAAGCCTTCCAACTCGTGTTCAATCAGTTTCTTGTGCTGCAACGGCTTCAGTACATCAAGTACTATGAATATAAGACTGCATGTTCTGGCGACGGCGATTACTTGACGACCACGACCCTTGCCGTCTTTAGCACCTTCGATAATACCAGGGAGATCGAGCAGCTGGAAATACAGAGAGTACCGTGGTGAATTATATAGACATACAAAGAATACAGAGGTTAATTAAATTGATATCATTATCATTCATCATACAGCCACAAAATGTCTATTGTATTTAATTTGTATATCATTGGGATAGATATCAACTGAATGGAATCTTCTTTTAAAGTATATTAAAATTAAGCAGTCTGTAGTGACCTTAGGGACACTTCCTTATGGATGCACTTTGGGCCGGTACCCAGGGCCCCCATCCTCAGGGGGTCCTGAAGGACCGACACGACGACGGACACACACTTTGTTTTCCCAAATTGTTTCGGGTATTGGTGCAATGTTAAAAAAATAAACGTTCCACAAGGGCACCAAATTATTGTGTGCCCAAAAGTCCCAGCTTAGTCTAAGACGGCCCTGGCTATACTTTTGAGTAGATTTTGTTTGGTATTCTTAAAATGTAATAAATTTTAATTAAATAAAGCTTAGACAAAATTATCGAGGCTTAAATAATAAAAAGTAAAAGTGCTTAATTAATAAAATTAAAAAACAACAATATTTAATAAAATACAATATTTAATATTGCCCTTTTTAAGCCGTGGTATTCCACAACATAGATCATTGCAAGACAAAATATGTTTTTTATCATCATATACAGGCATACAAGAGGTTAGTGCTTAACCTAATACACAAGTATGTGCATAAAGCCATTAAAAAAAAAATTACCTGAATCTTAGCTCCCTTATACTTGATACACCCCGGGACTGTTGTCAGCGTTGTGAACTCGTATGCTGCCACTTCTGAGTACACTCCAGCCAGGTTAGATAGTAATGTAGACTTCCCCACAGACGGAAACCCTACAAACCCGATACGAGCATCACCAGTTTTGGCGACATCGAAACCTGGAAGTAAATTGAATAATATTGTTAAATAAGATGTTTCTGTATTAATTTGATCAATGAACTGCATAGAATGGTGAGTCTCTTAGCCTCTTATCTGTTGAAACACCGGCTCCCAGTATAAAACACATTATGGCCGCAACTTTCAACAGACAAGAGGTTAAGTCTTATTATTTGTAACTTATCTTTTTAAACTTTTTTCCAATAAGGTATTTTTGTAATTATGATTTTCAACATCTGTTGATTGTCAATCTACTATCAGCCGAAACACATCTAAAGTGTGAAAGTCTGTTTTAATACTGATCAGTGTAGTTAACAGGACATAATCATTCAATTCAATATGCCATAATGATATGAAGTTTTGTAAGAAGTAGTGTTAAGTTACTCATATCTAAGTGAACTATGTATGTTCTTTTGAGGAAATAAATTTCTTTAAACCATAGTTCAAGAAAACTACATTTAATATTTTGTTTTTATTTATGTATCACTAATGTTACTATTACAAAAGAATCCTAAGTCGTAGGTATGTTGATTAACAAGAGTTTTAATTGGTCATCCAAATAATAGCTACCAAATTAGATGTGCATGTTTGATTACGAATTTTATTACCTTCGCCTGTCGCACCGCCGCCACCCTTGGGAGTGATGAGTTCTCGCCTCAATTTAGCTAACCGGGCTTTAAGTAGACCTAAATGAAGTGCTGTGGCTTTATTTTTTTGCGTTCGAGCCATCTGTAAACAAATACATGGTTGCAGTGTAACCATTTACTTATGACGGGAATCCGAATCATAGTAATACATTATAATCAAAGTAATAAGTGTATATTTATGTTTTTTGCACAATTAATTAGATAATTGTTCAATCAGTAATATAACCTATACAAACCTCGGACTCTATAGCCGCAATTTTCTCCAATATTGTACTCATTTTCGCGGTTTTTCTTTAACTAGCTTACTAATAACACTGGGAATAACAAATAAGTTATAATCTAAGCTAAATCTTGCTACAGTTAATATAAAAATAGAAGGAAGCGTGTCAATTTCTATTCGTGTACAAGTTTCCAGAACACGGCTTTGACATGACAGTTCGTGTCCAACTTTGCCATCATTTGAGTTTTGTGTTGATGTAAACTTGCCATGTGCAAAAACTATTTTTTTTTGCATATTTTTAGAAGATAAATATTGCAAACTGCTTCATGAATAATAATATTTAGTTACAGCTGAGGTTACATAAATATTTTTATTGCTCATCAAATTATTTTAATACTTCATACAGACACACTCACTACATCTAGTGTGCCTTAGTAATTTTACAACAAACTGCTAGATGGCGCTAAATTCAGCTAAAATAAACTTATCACGTGGAAATGCTTTTCCCGCAGGTTTGCGCAGCATAACTAAAGGAAAGGAACAGTGGAAAACTGTTTGCTGGGCTGGGTCCGCTGGGTATGTTAGACACCGGCATGCCTTAGTACCACCTTAGCCGTCGGAGGGTAGAGTTCGCTTCGCTGTTTGCCTAACCGACTCAAGTTACGAACGTAATCTTGTTGGAAAAATGTTTTCCCCGAGTATCCGTGTTGCTTAAATATTTCAATGTGGTGTTTAGGGATTATTAATAATTCTAATAATTATTTTTTGTGTAAATATTAGCTTATAAATCTTGAATTTCTGTCGGAATTCTTTCGGACTACTTACGTGTGATGTAAAAGTATTAAAGTAGTTATAATGTATGAGTAAAATGAATTAGTGTGTTGTAAATGTGTATTTAAAATTTTGGTGAGTTGGTATTTAATTATTATCTAGGTCTAAGTATAAAGTAACTACTGTTTTTCTACTTTCAACTTTCATTTTGTGTTAGGTTCATTTTGGGTCAGGGTAGGTACAATTAAGGGTAGACTATTAACTTTCAACTACTGAGAGAAATATTAAATCATTTTTTAACTATCGACACAATTATATTAAAAGGAGAAAAGGATATGGAATTTAAACTATTCTTGGTGTTAAAATCATATGGAGCTAATTCTACGTTTTTTTCATTATTTTGTACCGATAGTACCTATACATAAATTTTCTCTTTTGAGTCTATTTCGTACCACGTAGGATAAAATTTTAAGAACTCAGATGTGTATCAGAGCATTTGATTATTTTTATATATCAAGGTCCGCAACGCGTTTGCGATTCTTCTCTATGGTATTGCCAGTGCACAGGCTACGGTATCCGCTTACCATCAGGTCAACCATCTATCTTCTTTTATAATGAAAATGAATCTCCGTTCGTTAGTCTCGCTAAAACTCGAGAACAGCTGGACCGATTTGGCTAATTTGGGTCTTGAAAATGGTCGTGGAAGTCCAGATAAGGTTTACATGATGATAATTTTTTTAGACTGTACGATATTTCCGGCAAACTACGAACCGCCTAAAAATATTTGTCAGTTAGTCATAAATAAAAAAAAAGTAATTTAAAGAAGGATAAGGTGACAAGGGTTTTCATGGTTGTATGTACTGTAGATCCTGGTTTACAGGAGTTGTATCGGTTTTGGGAGGTTGTGGAGAACTTGTCCCAATAAAAAAACAACAGAAAAAGGGCTTTCGTTCAGCATTGGACATCTTCCAGCTGATGATGATCATGATGATGAAATAGGGTGACTAGAAGTAAAAATTCTTAGTTCCAAACCCTCACTATCGAGTTAAATAAACGTAAAAGAAAGCCCTAGTTACAAAATAAGTATTGATAAAGCTCTAAGAAATAAATCAGATATTCGTTTTTATGTTATGACTGTCGTTCGAGGCACATCTATGTCTTCTGTCACGGATTTAAAGGCCATGACTGCTAAGACACGATATTTTAGTGTCTATTCGCAATGGGGACCTATAAACTTGAGGATTTAATGTTGGTTATTCAATGAAGAGTATCTACTGGTACCTTCAGAGACTAAGGGCCTGGTTTAAAATGTCTGATTAAGTTTTTATTACTTGCTCAAATTGATTGATTTTGACATAGTATTCATTCGAAAGAAGTCAGTTAGTCAAACTGATAGTTACCTAGATTTTGGCGTAGGTATATTCCTTTCGAAAGAAGTCAGAGCGACTCCTTCAGACTTGGTGAAATAAAAGTAAATGTGACTACTGACAATTCCACTTTAAGTAATTTTTAAGATTAATTAGAAAAAAACACATTTTTGACTCTCTCGTTGGAGAGTCTTGTTGGAGTGGACTTGTTGAAGGCTAAACCAAAAAAAAAGAAATAGTTTAGCCTGTGTAGGAAAATCGTAACGGAAAACCGGTACCTTAATTTAATGATTGATTAAAAATAAAAATTGAGGGTCCGTTCACTCTCACTGACTTAAAACCACTTCGTCGTCTCTTCATCCAAAATGCTTGGGGGCAAATTTTTCTGTAGCAGTTTCTTAAGTGGCAACACGTGTCTACTGCTCATAGGGTTCTGCTTCATTTTGTTCGACAAGAAATCTACGAGTTGTTTTTGGAATAAATTAAGTCTATTTTTAGTTGTACCGTGTTTAAAGTTCTTTCTCTGGCAGCACGTGCACTGCTCAAAGGGCCCTGTTTCATTTTTTTTTTATTTAAAGAAGAAATTTCAACGGTTTGTTTTTGAAATAAAATGAAGTCTATTTTAGTAATTGAAGTCTATATCAGTGTTTATGGTTCTTTCCCTCCATGTGGCGTTGTTGTAGGACACCCTGTGTGTAGTGTCTCTGTTGTGACGTAGCCATTTTCGATGATTTATTGTTATAGCGTGTTCACTAAAGAGGTCAGCTCGTTGGTGCGTTAGAGGTGTTTAAATTTTTAGACCGATGTAAAGGACTGACCAACGGTGACCGTTATTTTTAATAGTGTAGCATGAAATAGAGATTTTAAAGAGTTTATTTTCGGGAATAGATATTTTATAGGAAGGAACAAGGATGTTGGAAAAAAGGCGGAAACAGTCTCTTGAAACAACGGCTGTTGCATCTGGTTACCATCGACTTACACGCAGAACATGCACACATTGACACGAAGAACATCTGTCATTTTCTTAAGTCTAGTAACTTGGTCACCCATTACACACGCACTCATGTCGCGGAGAACCTAACGGGTAACCGGGGCTCCGGCTCGACGTGCAGGAGAAGGAACGGGGTAGTTTTTAGTCAGTAAGAGTTTGACACTCCCTCCCGCCTCACCCAGGCGGGAGCAGTCATTCGATGATTTTCCCCCCTTTAAAAAAAAACACACGCACACATAAATAACACGTTGACATTTTGGTTGCTTCAATAATTTGTAAGTAACATTATGTCCGCCTGTTTCAACGTCCTTGGAAAGGAACCTTTATTTTTAGAAGAACTGTGAAAACTAATGGCCGGTCTCAATCCAAAATCTTTCATTAAGATCGATAGGAGTTTTTTCTTCTCTCTCTTTTTCTTTTTTGTGGGATAAGCCGGTAGACGAGCAGACGGATCACCTGGTGGATGGCAAGCAATCGGCGTCGCCCATGGAGACCCGAAACACCAGAGGCGTTACAAATGCGTTACCGTCCTTTTGGGGATTAGGAATTTGCGGATTGTTGGAGATTCAGGGATTGGAGAAAAGGGGAGGAGTAATTTGGCGTCCGGTAACCTCACTCACAAGACGAAACACAACGCAAGTGTTGTTTCACATCGGTTATTCGTTTCGATAGTAACAGAATAGTTCTTAACACGCTCACCGCCGTGTTTTGTCATAGGCCAGTGTATCCTTAATGATACACCACGCTGCACACACACACTCTTTGGAGGCCGATGTATCCCTCAGTATACACCATTTCATACATTTTAGTAGGACGTTCAAAAGTGTTGGCCCTGGAGAATATGCCTGTATTATAGGGGTGTAAATATCTTAAAAAATTAAGAAAATGTGGGTAAAAAGAAAAACACACATACACCTCATAAAAGGGGGTAAATTAAAAGAAAAAAAAAAGATTTTTTTTTGTTGTAAGTGAAACCAGTAGAATCAGATTAATGCAATAAAAAAAAACGCAATTCCAGCACCCTTTTCCAAAAATTGCCTTGACACTGAGCGTGTTAATAGAGAGCACTATCCATGTAATACTTATTTTTATTAGTCTTTGACTCATTTTATGACATTCTTAAAAAGTAATTTTACCTTTAACAACCAAATCACAAAAAACAATCACCTAACATCCATAAAAAAGTTTGCCTTCAGCCCTCAAATAAAATCAAACCATATGATTGATAACGAACAATCTATTGACCCAGTTTAATAACTAACGAGATACCCAAATAGAAATACAAACATATATCAATGGAGGCTCATTCTAAACTGATTCCCTAAGGTAACATCTTTCAATTAGGCTTCACAAGTGGGGCGTGGATTCATTAAATTTGATACTTCGACATGACTCACGTGTCACAAATAGTTTTGGTCCAACTGCCTTTGATGTATGGGCTTAAAGCAGAAGGTATCTCCTTTGGGAGACGGGTATTTTTGTTTTGAAATGATATCGAAGCGTGAAAGGGATTCGGAATTTTTGTGCTACCTATTTTTGTTGGTATTTTCAGATTACCTATGAACCTACTTAGGAATATGTTTTCGAAATAGAACATTGGAAAGATTAATGTGTTTCTGTGGTTAAAGGTTACGCTCATCATGGTGTCCCTCGAGAAGATCAGTAGGATCGGTAGACTACATAGTAGGTTTTGTATGGATCTGTGCAACGAGTCTCAAAGGAGACCCTTTTATAGTCTCCCCTGGGATCAGCCTTTTGTGTCATTGTAGGTCTTTTTTTTTCTAGCTTGATGGGGAGGGCAGTGGCATGGAATAAGGTTCAATAATCAATAAACCTTCGTTAAACAAATACGATAATAGCACACGGCCTACATAGGGGCTTTCTCTTGAAACCAATGTCAATGCAATTTCAATCCAATAAAATCTCAATAATTATTCAATGTCAAAACTATACAACTCCTACCGAAGCTATTTAAATAGCATTCAGAGTATGGAATATAAAACCAAACTCAATACCATTTAGTTAATTAAATATCCACGCAATGCGGATGCAATAAGCGTTAGTGTTACAACTCAAGAGAATGAAATTTCACAATTT